AAAGCTATCAAAATACAAGGACCTTGAAATCGAAATCTCAAAAATATGGTACATGAGAACATCAACAATCCCTTTTGTAGTTGGAGCCCTCGGATTGTTTGGAAAAAATTCCAATAGACTCATTGAATGGATTCCTGGTAGCCCATGCCTTAAAGAAATACAAACAATTGTTTTCATGGGTACAGCCCACAATTTACGAAGGACTTTATCTATGTAAAGTATGTGTTTTTTTTTTTTTTTTTGGTGTTTTTTTTTTTGTTTTTTTGTTTTTTGGTGTTTTTTTTTTTTAATTGCTCAGTGGAAAGTATCGTGATGCCATTTTTGACGTTAGGTCTCTGAATTGGGCCCGGAAAGAAATGAGTACACATGAGAAATCAAGGGAAATAAAATAATAATAATAATAATAATAAAAGAAACTTTTCACTAGGAACTTTCAGACAAATATTATGCATAATAGCGTGGATCCAAAATTTGTTCTGTGACAAATATCAGGAAACCATAGACCATCTAATCTCAGTATGTTCTGAACTTACGCCAAATGATTATAAAAATCGTCACAATAGAGAAGATGTTAACAAACACTGGTATGAACATCAACCAGAAGATTACAGAAATAGAAGATATGACAATTCTATGGGATTACATAATCTTTAGAGACCCGAAGATTGAAGCAAATAGGCCGGATATAATTGTCAAAAACCGAAAAGGAAAAACTTGCCTATTAATTGCTATGGCTTGCCCAGCGGACTGTAACATAGCAACCAAAGGTTTTTTTTAAAACTATCGAAGTATAAAGAAATGCAAATCGAAATAGAAAAAATGTGGAAATTGAAAACAAGAATAGTACCAGTCATAGTAGGTGCGCTTGGAATGATAAAAAAAGAATTAGACATGGCACATGGAACTAGAACAGTCTAGCGAAATAAATGTGCTAACCGTATTCGGAAATTAAAAACAGCTCTACAATAAACTAAAACATACACATGATGCACACACTCAATTAAGAAGAAAAATCGAATCATCCTTGATAATGGCTAAAGGTATAGCCGAAAGCGATCGGAACTATAAAACATTAGTACAGTTTTTACACATTCTTTGTCCAGAAAAGAAAGCTCTTGTTCGAACAAAAGAAAGATTAAATAAAAGGCTTAACCGTAGTATCTTGTCTGTCGTTTTTAATGAAACATGCATATATATATATATATATATATATATATATATATATATATATATATATATATATATATATACAAATTTAACGTAGGGTAAAATTTCGCGTTCAAATCATTAATTTAAAAGAGAGCTCAATACAAAAGTAGAGCAATAAATATTTATTTATTATGCAGAGTTACATTAGAACATGCACATACCCACTACAAAACTGTACATCTTGTTTCAACATTAAAAGTGATGTTTCTTCGGGTGGAAAAAAAAAAGCTACTCAAATATTTTATTCCAAAATACAGTTAATGAGGCACATCTCTCACTTCCGTCTTTGGAAAATTTTAGATAAAAGGTAAAAAAGGATTTACATATGGAGAAAGAAAGCTAAGTGATTAATAACAGTGAGAGAGAAAGAGAGAGAAGAAAAATAAGAAGGAAAAGGCCAAGAAAAAGTTGAGGCAAATATTCAATATATATGTGTGCGATGGTTAAATTGTCGCCATTTTATATTTTTAATTTCACGCATGCGTTGTTTGCTTTTAATTTTGTCGACTGCACAGTGTAGTAGAGTCAGTTGAACACCGTCTGTGAGAAAAAGAGTACTACGACGCAATTCCCTCCACCAGAAATTTGGAAACAGCATGCTGTGCTGCTTGGTATTCACACGGAATCTCCAATACGAATATTTCCGAGTGTTTGGGTATCAATCTGACGACTGTGCAGAGGATTCGGAAAAAGTTGGTGATTACGAAATTGTTTGGAGTGATCATCATCCATTCATCTTCCCACAGGGCCTCAGACTCTACACAGAGACCTTCATCAAGTGTCTTAAGTTAGTGTGCCTTGGAAGACTCTGTGTCTGGCAACAGGACTCTGTTCCATGCCAAACAAGCAGGAAAACCCAGTCATGGCTGTTAGATAATTTCTGCGACCATATCATCCCTTTTATCTGGCCACCTAACTCTCCAGACTACAACTCCCTTGATTATTATGAGTGGAACACAGTTGGGTGAGAGATCAAGAAAACTCCTTAATGATTTGAAGGCAAGGATTATGGCAGCATTCACCAATTTAAACAAGGATATCGTTCAGAAGAATTGCAGGAGATTCCGACGTCATCTGGAGGCCATGGTTGAAGCCAATGGGGATTTTATTGAATAAATTTACTCTTTAGTATTTCAAGATATTTTGAGTAATATTTTTGGTAAATCTATCTGTTAAAATGAGATACCAGTGTTATTTTCATTATTGCGTCATTTAGACCATTTAGACGAGAATTTATCCATCGCATAGATACAATATATATATATATATATATATATATATATATATATATATATATATATATATATATATATATTTTAATTCATCGCTCTCTGTAAGAATTAAGCACTATGGCGGCTAGTATGGCTTTTATATATCACGTATATAATGAGTTAAAGATTAACATCCTCTGCCGTACACCGATAACCCAAGGGTAAGACTGATGTCAAATCGGTGTAGTTTCGATCCCGACTTGAAGCAATCATATGTCTAGCCACACTGATGTGTTGCAAAACAGGCTCTATGTGGATTACTATGTGTATGTTAATAAAATAGTATTCGCTATATAATAAGAGACCTATAATTTACATTAATAATAGATATAATTTATTTCTAACTGGTACCACAACTGGTTGTGATATATATATATATATATATATATATATATATATATATATATATATATATGAAGAAATATAATTTTATGGTATGCTATATTTATGGGATAAAGTGCTCAATATAGAAAGCGTGTGAACATTGAAGTCAACAC